TCCCTTCCACGTTCCAATGAGCGCAGATGTTTTTTACATCGATGGTGGACGTCGAAAATCGTCGAACGTGTACGACATGTAATGTCCTTCCTCGGTCAAACAACCGATCAACTTCCAATCTTCGTTACTACGAGATGGAATAAAAAAAAAAGCAGTCGCCTTCTTAGGAAGATCCGAATCGCATCAGATGTTGAATCGTCGGATACAGCTGCGTGTAACGCGTGTCTATCGTTTTGCAGCTATCTTCACGCTGCTCATCGTACTCGCGCCAAATTATGAAACTACTTTTCTTTTTTTTTCTTTTTCCTTTTTCCCATTTATCACGCGTTTTAACAGATTTAACTAACAAAAATCGATTTATATTTCCCCTATTCGTTATCATTCGTTGAATAATTCTTTTTACCTTTTCTTGCCTATGGAAAAAACATAATTTAATATTAAGACTTTATTACCGATCGGAATATTTCTGTAGATAAAAAATTTACTAAAGAAAACGTAGCCAATCACGTGTCTTCCTTATCTACCTTTCGATTATTTTCATTTGTATTTAAGTATGAAATATTTTTTGTTCGTCCTAAAATTAATGATCAATGAGATCAGATTAAAGTTAATGAAATTGCTGGACAATCTGTAAAAAAAGAAAGAACAAAAAAAAAAAAAAAAAAGAAAAAAAAAAGAAAACCATAGGGACATTCTAGGTTTTGCATTCTAGGGAATATCTTATGCTAGTACAACGAAGTTAGCTATTTTAAATTATTCACTATGTAATAGGAGAACGACGCGGTCCTCCAAATAACTGAAAAATAAATACACGTGAAAGCCATTTAAGCATTACAAGTATACACCAATAACAATAGTATAAAAAAAATCTGTCCTCCATTGTTGTACATTTATCATGGATTACGTAAGCGGTAGTATAAATGTTAAATCAAAGAAACTTTGTATTTCAAGACGAATGTAACCGTTGCGATTGAATAATAACGTTAATTGAGCGTGCGTACCATTTACACCGATTCAAATATGCCAGAGTTTCTATAAATCGTTTTTGAATTTAATAGAAGAGAATGGCAGACTTTAATGAAGGTGTTGATGGGAAATTGGCATTTCGAATGCGAAAAGTCAATCCCGAACAATTTCATACGCTCGTCAAGATGCATTTATCATTTGAATTGGATCTCAATACGGAGGAGTAAGTTAGGAGAGGCTCATTAATTATTTATATTTCAAAATATATTATTACTTTTAATTAAGATAAATCGGGATTATTTTCTAATTAGCATGATTTCTTCTAGTAATGATTGTATTATTGAAAAGGCAAAATTAAAAAAATGGGGTATATTGAATTTTGCAAGGAAACCAAAGTCAACTATTAATCTACAAAAAGTAGAAGGTGCTAGTCTATCTGAAAATGGAATAAATCAAGTTAAACAATTAATAGAATACTTATCCAAAGAACAAAGTAGGTTATTTGATCATATTGTTAAGATAATAGAACGTTTAATAAAGATTCTTTTTCCTTTTATTAACACAATGTTAAAGGTATTATACAGGAAGGAATATTTCGACGTACAGGGAAATTGACAAGGCAGCAAGATCTCAAAAGTGCACTTTACCAAGGTGTTCCATTAAATCTTGAAGATGGTCGATTTAGCGTACACGATTGTGCATCTGTTTTAAAAGGATTTTTAGCAGAGCTATCTGAACCTCTCTTAACAGATCTCCATTTTCCAGCTCACTGTCAAATTGCTGGTAAGACAAAATTATAAGGTCTATGCATTAAGACGTGCAAGGTATATGAACATATATAATATTTATTTTACAAATTGAAAAATTACAGAATTGTGCAATTTGAATGACAACACGAACGAAGCCAGATTACTTAGATCCTTGCAATTGCTTTTATTGCTTTTACCACCTCCTAACAGGCATATATTGAAATGTGTCCTTAATCTTCTCAATAAGACGGCAACTTATGAACATAATAACAAAATGAACTGTGATACTCTTGCTACTCTATTTACTCCTCATCTATTGTGTCCACGAAAATTATCACCTGAGGCATTACATACTAATTCACAAAATTTGTCATGTTTGGTCGCCTTTATGATTAAAAAAGGTATGGAATTATTTGATATCCCTCCAAAATTAGCAACCGATATAAGGGCTTATTGGATAGAACAGGAAAGAAAATTATTAAGTCCTAAAAAGACAGACGTAAGTTGCATTACGGGAGAAACAATTGAATGCGAATTAAACGATTTATTAATTCAATATTTTTTTTTTCTTTTTTGCAGTTGAATGAATCTGTACCAGACACTACGGGCACGGCGCATACTGTATTCAGTTTCGTTGACCATAAATTGACAGCAAAAGCTAATTCCACTCAAGATACTCAGGCAGCTCTTGCTCAGCTTTATGCTCATATACAAGCAATGCCAGAGTCTGCAAAAAAACGTAGACTTGTAAAGCAATTTAATAAGGAAAATGGTCAAGGTACACCCAGGCACGTGAAAAATGTTCGAACCAAGAGTCTTGGAGATTCGATAAAGAAGCACATCTTTCAAAGGAAACTTTTGGGTCATAAAAAATTCATAGATATAAATATTGGATGCAACATTACCAGATCTAGTAGCGAGGAAAATATATTGTCTACGGTAAGATATGCGAAATCTTTATTTTTATATTACTCGAATCGAATTTCTGTTTATAATACTCTCTTAGAATGTTTTACATGTTATTTCGTGAAAATGATATTATCAAGTGATATGTTTTGCATGTCTTATACAGAGTCTTGAAAAGCCATTCTTTCAAAAAACTCGTTTCACTAAATCGGATGATGAATTTAATTTAGAAAATTCTGATTCTCATACTAATAACCTTATACGCACTAAACACATTAGTAACAGTACTGGTAGCCTCAATGAGCCTACTGCATCGATTTATAAAGATAAAAGGAAAGCTATGCTCGTGGGTCTTGTAAATATTACCGATAATAAACGCACTAATGAACAAAGTATTAACAAGGAATCTTCACCGAAACAGAACAAGTCATATGTAAATAATTCCGGAAGTTATAAGACGACGAATAGAAGTACCTTTTTACAGGAAGATTCTTTTAATGATGGAGATACAGAAAAAATTAGTAATTTATCTGGTACTACTCTTAAATTGTCTAGGCAATCCAGTGAACCACCAGATATGTACTCTTCTCAAATTACAACAAATAAAGTTGATAGCAGTGAATTGATTAGACAATATTCTGAACCAGTATTTCCAATATCTAGAAGAAAAAATATAGAAGTCGCTTGTAAATCTAGAATCACGCAAGATGTTGTTGACGCAAAATCATCTGAGTTGACGATAAAATCTGAATCATTTACGGAGAATGCATGTTCATATCCATCTCCAATAGTTAAAAACAGATTTTGGAATGTATATGCTGCTCATACTTCTACGCCATCAAACCTTTTACGAAGGAGTTTAGTCGCTAATGATTACATATTGACACCTATTACTAATAATGATGACAAAAGCATGAGTCCTATCACACAAAGTGCAACTAAAATGACAAAAGCTATGCAGGTATGCACGTTCTTTATTTCTACGTTTTCTACAATAGTACTATATACACGGCGTTTATACAACATAAAATATAATTATATCGATTCGTTCTTATTTTGATAATATCTTGAAATAACAGGAAACTATGATGACTCCACGTTCTCGTAAACCCGTCATGATGGTATCAGGATCGAATCTTTGCAATCTTGCCAGTATGAACGACAGTTCCATACAACATAATAACGTTTCTAATAACTTGCGTAGATCAAATATTGATCTCTTAGCTCCTCATATGAGCTGTTCTTCTATTTTAGAGGAATTACGTAAACCAGATAATGCCGATGATGAATTTATTTATTTGGAAGGCGTTGACATAGATGATAAAGAAAATTGTACAGAAGAAATATGTCAAAAGCACAATTTGGGTACTTCAATTGTGGACGATTGTTGTACCATGACGCAACAAAGCTCTATGTCAATAACAAGCACATTTAGGGAATATTTATTATCAAGAAGCGTATTAACTGCTAGTCCTGTTGATCTTAGTTTTACTTCGCGTACTGATGATTTTGAGCAATCAGAATCTGACCTAAATATTTTTAATGAAAATGGACTATCTAGTAGTTTACTTCGTTGTTTAGATGGAAACAATCCAGAATCTGATACATCTGGTATAGCTTCTGGAAGTACGAATAGCGCTAATGATTCGACAGAAAAAATTGAAGAAACTGTTTCCCCAAGAAAACGGGGAACTAGTTTACAACGTAATGACTCGAAAAGATCTATAAAGGATAAAAATATATCGAAAGGAGAACGTGGTCAAAGTTTTAAGTATAAACAGATAAGTGAGTCAAGATTAAATTCTACGAAAGTAAAAGATACATTTCAGGAGACTTCATTTTAAATTGGAGTAAAATTACTTAAAATATAAGTACAAATCAATGTGAATCTCAGTATGGACACTAATGAAATGTAAACGTCGTGATTTTTAGTCAAGTTTTACACTGTTGATCGTATATTATATATTTTCTTTTTTCCTCTCTCTCTCTCTTTCTCTTTTTTAAATAATAGTAAGTAACCTGATAAGTTATCAGGAACATTTCGTTCTTTTAATTTTCCTTCTTTTGAAATTATTAAATCTCATAGGATCCATGACAACATTGACGTTAACTTTGATGTTATGCATGGAAACTTTACAAGTGTTTCTAATTTTTCCATATTTCCTTCAATTTATTCATAGGAGAAAATTTTTATTATGCTGGGCGCAGAAAATATATATGTGACAATTTTATATCAGGGTAAAACATATGACATGGCTGTTTTTTTTTTTTTATGTCATATCTAAGATATGTAATATATAAATTTGAAAGTAAAGTATCTACCATAATGAAAGACATTTTTTATTTAATTTAATTTCATTAATATCCGAAGAACCTACAATATAGATTATCTTGATTTTCTTTCTTTCTTTTTTTTTTTTTACACATTTTTAATACATCCTATCGAGAGTTTATCGTTATTTTCAATAAACAATGGCTATTTTCTTAACACTTGTTTTTTATAAAGAATTATAGAAAAAATAAATACAGTTTATATATGACAATGGCAATATTATAGAATTGCTTATAATTACTTCATATATATATATATATATATTATTTTTATTCCCTATAATATTGTGTTAATAATGACACATGATATTTTATTATCGTCGAACATACGCATATGTGTATATATATATATATATATATATATATATATATATATATATATATATATATAATAGATCATGTTGGTAATCTTATGTCTCTTATTTTTCAATATGCTTACCTAAATACATTTTCGTTATTCAGAATCATGTATATTCTATAGTATTTAATAGAAAGACATGGATGTACAACAGACATCATAATTTTCAGAATTGTGTGAAGATGTGGGTGATGATTCCAATGTAGTGCCTGGAGATGTAGATGTGGGTCAGAACATATCATCATGACCCAAATCTGGAATATATGAAAGACCACGCTCTTTCAAAGCCTTGTTCATCAAACGCTTTTGATCTTGTTTCAATTCTTGTTCTCTTCTTTGTGCATCTAGAATATCATCCACTGATACTTCCGTTAACGGTAAATCTTTTTCTTTTTCCCTATCCTACAAATAGATAAAAAAAAAAGAAATCTTCCTCTACTCTTGTAAATAAGTATATTTATAAGAGCATAGCTTACTATTTCTCCTAGTAGGACAACGTTCTCTCCTCTGACAATAAATATGCCTCTTGGAATATCCCCATATTCTTTACCGACATGAATTCTTTCAATGGTACGATGGAGTACTATATTAGCAAATTGATCGACGCTTCTGAGATATCCAATTAATGTTCTACCATCTCTCAGTAAAACCATTAGTTTTTCTAAATCAGAAGCAATATGTATTCATAGAGAATAAAATCAAACTATAAATATATTTGAATAACGTTATGGTAATGTGTCGATGAACAAAATAAACTTATATTAGAAATTTGATTCGGCCATCTATTAATAAATTTATTTCTTTTTAAACAATAGACTTGACGTAATTGAAAAAAGTGATAAATGCCGGTATAACCTATAAAAATCATAGGAATACAAAAGTCACACATACTGTCAAGTTCTCCTAATAAGGAAGCTGTTCCTGGAACGACGTTCATATTGTATAGTTGTCTTTCGTAATTCTTCGATATTACAAGATTCACGAAGGAAGTGCAAAAATCGTATCTACTAAATTTTCGATCCAATATGATCCGATGCAATGTAAATTGATCATAAACGCAAATATGATTAAAAACACTTGATTATTAACTAAGTTAATGATACTGTTGCCATGTGATAAAAAAAACTCAACATATTTAACATGTATTTAAGATTTTTATAATAATTTATATTATTTAATAAGCGACACTGCAAACGTCTCTATAGGTATGGTACTTGTGATAAAATGCGTGAGGCCATATTGGATTTAAGTCGAGAATAGACGTCCTAAACAAAAATAAAATAAAAATTTCCTTTCAAAGGATAATTATTATATTCTTTCTTTAATTTAATACTTATTCTTTTTGAATTTGTTCAATTGAAAAACAAAAAAAGAAAAATTGGAATTAATGTAAGTATTTTATTTTTACATTGGATAGTACTCATTGGACGAGTCGAATGTTGAATGACCAATGAAATTTAAGTTAGCAGCTATTTAAATTTGAATTATCTCTTAATTTCTATCAATATTTTTTATTTTTTTGTACTCATCTTCAAATTTAATTTCAATTTATAATGAATATTTTGAAAATAAAAGCATTTAATATTTATCAACTAAATAAATATTAATATGTCCTATCATAAATAATTTATTCGATGATTGAAAAATCGTATATAAATAAATTTAGACGCAGTATTTAATGCGATTAGATGCAAGACGTGAGTATTTGACCTTTTTCGCGACACTTCATAAATGAATTATAATGTCAAGGATTATAATGTCAAGTTATGTAAGTTTCATCTTCTATCGTCTTCCTCTCTTTCTCTCAATAGTAGTTTATATTATTCTCGCAATATCATTTTTCGATCTCTTTCAATTGATCATTTTATCTTCAACAATTGAGTAACCATATTAAAAGAAAAAAAAATGGCGATATAAGGACGACTATAATTACTGATTTAACGATCGTCAATACATCAACGATCATTAATCTTTTAACTCGTTAGTATTAGGTAATAATTAATAATAATACAAGATTCGATAATTTTCGTCTTACGTAAGGAGTATCGAAGATAAGATAGTTCTTCTTCTTCTTCTCCTTCTTCTTATCCAATCAGATCAATTCAATTACTTGATCGTATCTTTCTTTTCTCGCCAAGCCACTTACGAAGTTACTCGTTTGCTTGCAAAGACAATGAACCGACGTGAAATTTCCTTCTTCTTCGAGAAATACAGAGAGAGAGAGAGAGAGAGAGGGGGGGGGGAGAGAGGGAGAGAGCGAGAGAGAGGGAGAGAGAAAAAGAAAGAGAGAGACTGCAATGTGCAATGGCATTTGCCGGTGGCTCCTTTCACGCAAAACGCTCGCGTTCCAGTCTTGTATCTTTCTTCGAAGACGTATCAGAATCGACATGGTGAACAATGGAAAACAACGATAGGATGTTATACGTGAGCTCGTAGAAGACATAGAGAAAGAAAGACAAAGATATAAATAAAAAAGGTGTCCATGGAGGAGGTTTGAGTGAACATACACTAAGTTCATTCTCATCACTTTCACTTTAACTCGTTGTATCGTCGGTGGATACTTGTAGATAGTCTATACGTTCAACCGGTGATCTTATCCGTATTATTCAAAATACTCATCTCTCGGAAATCTCGCGACTCGATCGTGTTTTTCGGAATGGAAGTCCGAGTCGAATCGTGGATCCTCGGAATCGTTCTACATTGCACCGCATTCATCGTTCTTGTACATCCTGAAGAAGTCTTCGTAAGTACTAAACATTATCGCTGGCTAATTATAGAATTATGTGTTCGTGCAGAGTTCCATTATATCGATAGTTATCAACCGGGAGCAGAATCACAAGGGGAATCGTAAAGATAGTAGATCGGATCGAGTCTTATAGAATGTTTCTATACCTCTAGTTTATTACGAGGAGTAATTGATTTGATCCATCATTTATTTTCATTGATAAACATTGTTTGGTAGAAATGAACGTGCGATAGTTGAAGCTCTGCGGAATATAATTATTGAAATTATCTGAAAAAAATGTTAACAATGAAAATTACAAATAGAAAATTGCGCTAATAATTACAAATGACTTCGAACGATATTATCGATATCTTCGTCGAAGTGTTAAAGGAAGAAAGAAAGAAAGAAAAAGAAGGAAAAGAGAAATGAACATTTTTCGATTCTACAAACTGGAACGTAGCCGAGCGTAACTATCACGTTTGTTTATCAACTTGATCTTTCTTTGAAGATTACGGTAGGTAATTTTAACAGCCATCGTGTAATGACACTATAATACTACCGTGCAGTAATGGTATCGGCGTTGTACTGAGTTACGCTGATCTCAACACGATTACATGATAAATATGGCATAGCAGAGAACCCGCTGTGGTATTTGAAATGCTAGAAAATAGAAGGTAGTACTGGATCGAGATAGAAAGGCAAGGTCATTTGCGGAGAATACTACAAATGCATTCACATATTTCTCACAGACGAGTTTGTCTCATTCGAAGAGAACTTTTCCTGAATTATTTACAATCTCACAGATTATTATCGACAAGTTCAAGATCGAACATATTCAATTACTATATGTAAATGAATGAGGGATTCGAAGTATATAAAAAATATGTCGATCGGGTTTGTTGCAGAATACGACACCTCCGCCATTGAGAACAAATTTCTCATGTTTCGGTAGAGCAATGGGATTCTATGCGGACATTGAGGCAGACTGCAAGGTCTATCATACGTGCGACGATCATGGTAACAAGTTCAGTTATCGTTGCCCGGAAGAAACAGCCTTCCGACAGGATGCCTTGATTTGTGATCACGCGAGACTCGTCGATTGTCGTGCTACTACTTACGACGATAAAAAGTCGCTTCGTGGAAGTAGAAGCGAAGAGGAGAGCTTAGGCTTGAGCGTACCTTCGTTCTTCAATGTTCCACCGCCGTTGGATAATTCGAACGATCATCATTCCTTTTCTAGATCCTTTCAAGTGATCCAACCTCCCGATAAATCACTGACCGATAAGGCACAACCCGGCTTTGTTTTCAGTGCCAGTGTTTTCTTGAGAAATCAGAAAGATCACGATTCCCATAGGAAATCAATGAACGCTCATGAGACTGAATCTATTTTAGATCCATCTCGATGCAATCGCAATGAAGAGCACAAAACGACAGGGTCCAATTCGAAAAACCAGGTCTCACACTTTTCTTCGACTCCTCGCCCATTTTCTCATGGTCCTTATCCCAAAGAAGACTCCTCTTTGTCCAATCGATTTTCCAGTTTCACGAGGTCAGATTCAGGAACGAAGAATTTACATGGTCGAACGTTCGTCAATGTGCCAATGATTTCCAGAAAAACTGAGCCACCTCGAAAGGATCTTTTCCATACCACTACTACCACTACTACTACCAACGTTTTTTCTTTAAGCACGAAATTACCAACGAACGATATTACTAGGGTCAACTCAAACACTTACAACAATAGAGATTATCCTTATTTTGAAACGCTCAGATCGATCCAGGCCAATGCTATGAGCACGACTACGCCAAGAACAACGTTAGCCACCACAGAAATTCCTGTTCATGCTCTTACTATGTCTTTGAAGCCTTTAGTACCCAACGAACTGGAATACGATCCCTATTATCCAAGGACACCTGCGTCTACAGAAGCTTATTACACCGATAGCCACCTCAGCAAAGATTCCGAATCCTTTCGGTTTACGACGCAACCACCTTGGTCGGGTATCCACTTTGAAATACCAGCTGTTTTACCTGATCTTAACACCTTAGAGGATCTCGTAGATCGTCGAAAATTATTCTATATTCCCCGTATTACCAGACATTGATTTTAAATGTACGTTTTACATTCTAAAAATTAAATTGTAGAAAAGAGAGAAAGCGATAATTTTTCGTCCTTGGTTTTTTTTTCTTTTATATATATATATATATATATATATATATATATATATATGTATATATATAATGTATATTTATGTGCGTATAAATATATTTTAACTTGGTAAGGTGAATTAGTTTGGAAACATAAAAGGATAAGTGGACATCGAATGTATACATTCTGTTTCTTTTCCACGATATGGAAAGCTAATCGTATCAGTAGGAAAACTGAAAGTCAATCTTGAAGGTCAATGATTGCTATCGTTATTCACATTGTTGGAGGAATAAGTTATCGTGACTGGATCGGATAATATAGCATTTTTATTAAAGCTATGCAACTTTAATTCCGTGGATTTCGTGGAATCCATAAATCCTAAAATGGTTTCCGTTCTTGTTGGAGATCTCACGTTGATCGCCGAATTTCTAAGAAAATCAAAAAGTCTTGATCGTCTCGATCTCTTGTTCACGAAGAAAGTAACATTTACCCATTAACGTAAATCCGATAACCAGCAACATTTTCAAGATTTTCGGGTATCTTCCACGAGAGTAAAAGACATTTGCAGAATTCTTGTACGACTTTGAAATCTGTCGGTGATGGTGGTATAGTGTCGTCGCAAGACGAATCAAGATAAGTTTTGTCGTCTTCTTTCACCGTTTCACTTGACGATAATGTCGAATTTATTCTTTTTTCCTGCAAGAAATAATTCAAAGTTATCAACGGACGGAAAATAATTTATTTTTATGTCATTCAATGTTAATTGTGAACGACGAATTGGATTTAAATATGGAGAATTTAATGTTGATCGATATAAACAATTAGCAATTTTTTTTTTCAAGATGATACAATTCGACCAGTAAAGAAACATATATGTTTTGTATTTTATTTAAAAGCAAATTTTTATCAATTGTTTGTTATTTTTCAAGTTCGACATTATGATTATATATACCACAGAAAGTCTGCTCATGGTTTTACGCAAATACGTATAGAGAGCAGACCGATCAAAATCCCAATATGTATATTCGAGACAGGGTGCGGCTAAATTTTTGGCTATTTGAGCATAATTGACAACACCACGTAATCCTTCTGCTAAAATGGCTATCATGCTGTCTTTGCTTCGGCACTTACTTTGTAAGATCTCGACTGCAGTTGCGAGTCCTGATATCATAGGATTAATGATTAGAAAGAGATTATTCGGAATTAAACAGAAACGAATACAAGATATATTTTTAACCGGAATACGTTGCCCTAATTGGTGGAAGACAGGACAATATTTCTGTGTTCTTCTGACAGCTACTACAAGCTTGTATTAATTCACGAAAATATTCGTTCTCTTTTTTATAAGATTCGATTTTCTGTTGCAATTTTCGCGCTTCTTCTTCCAAATCAAATTGCTTATTATCCTTTGAATGTTTGCAATTGCTCTCACATTTTCCCTGTGAATCGGATATCGTATCTTGACCATCAATTATGTTATTCATTCGTTTCACTATTGGATCTATCGGAATGTTTACACTTGAGTATTCACTGCAACTACAAAATTGACAATTGATTTCGTAATTATTCTTATCCGATTCTGTAGGCTCATTTGATTCAGAGCTCTTCTGGTCTGGTCTGTTTAAAATAGAATACTGATTTTTATACGATGAAAAATAAAAATAAAACAAATGAATGACATTGAACATACATTTTAAGAGCACTTGTGGGACTAATTGTACGCTTCGTCTTTTTTTTAACTTTTTTTAAATCATTTGGAGCTATACACGGTGAATTCGAATATCGTATACATTCACAGGAACAAGTAGATTCGCCTTCTAAAAAGTATCCGCATTTGCACGGGCAAAACTATGAAAAGTTATTTGAAAAATTTTTTAAATACGCATTATAATAGAATAAATCAATATCTTAACTAATTAGCACACTAAAAACGAAGCATTTATTTATCGTTTTTTTTTTGTTTGTTTGTTTGTCCGACGTTTTGTCAATTTCTTATAATTTCTTACATTTTATGTTTTTTTTTTTTTTTCCAAATAAAAGCATATTAATTCGTAAAAATCTATATGATTTTCTAACCTCTTCCGAATTATTATGATCCCGTTTCTTTATTCTTTTCTGCGTATCAGATACAGATGTTGCTTGACTTCCAGTATTGAAAGACAATTTGCACTCAGGCCCGATATCGCATTGAGTCGAACAAGATAACTTTTGACTTTTCGTTGATTTTATTTGTAACGTAGAAGTAATTTGGCTGAATACAGAAATTGAATACGTGGATGTACCAACATCCTTCTTCGAACCAATTTCCATACTCATACTTTCAAAATTTTCAACCGAATATGATTGTTCGTTTATTATTTCAATTTTATTGGGAGACATGACTTGGGAATCAAACTCGCAAGTACAATCAATGCACTTATCTTTCTTCGACGACATGCTACTCGTAGGATCTTTACATAAGTCTCCACATTGAGGCTTGGTAGAGTAAATTGGTTCGGTAATGTTTATATTCTCTAAATAATCAGTTGTTTCATTACGAGTTATTAACTTCGTCAGAATATTTAAAAATGAATCGAACGATATATTCGAATGATTTTCGTAATCCAATTCTTCCTGACAATCTAAAGATCGATCTTTATGAATAGATAAGAAGAATAGAAAAGAGATGTTAAATGTTAGATGGAAAGAACTTATTGACGAATAATTATATTAATTACTATTGGTTCCGTCTAATTCGTCGTGTTTTCTTTCTACTTTACATTCGCAGCCAACATCCATTGTTCTTACGAATTCGTAAGATTGAATGCTAAATGAATCATCATCAAAAATGCTGGGTTCTTGTTGGAGACATTTTTGAAATTGTACGCTTCTATTTCGTACTTCGCTGTATTCTTCATCGGTAGTTGTTATTGGTCGAGGTTTCAAACAATCAGGATATAACGAGCATGCTATACTCAAACAAGAAGGAAAATGAATGAAAACGAAACAAGATTTTATGTGAAAAAATATTCATTAAGAGTTGAACCTTTTTTCGTTCTTCTACATAATGATACTTCTTTCTTTTCAGACTCCAATTCTTCTTGTTGCTTCTGCGAAGTCTCTAATATATAAGATGTCTACGAATTTGTAAGGATATGATAAAAAATGTAATATTTATAATCAAACTATGAGTCTGATAAACGATGTTCTTACTATCTGTCGAATAAGATTTAAAAGAAGATCATCAACAACGTATTGAGTTTCAGTTTCTGGTCTTGATATTATTCGAAGAGAAATATTACCATCCACTTTATCACTTTCCTCGAAGATGTTGCCTTCTTGCTGCACTTGACAATCATTCGTACTCAACATAAGTTCGTCAAACTTCATCCCACACAATTGACAAGTCGAAGATACATCTTCGGGCTCACGAAGCTGCTAAAAAATATCATTTTGAATCCTTTCGGTCAGATAATTTCTCTCGAACGAATTTCTCCGATAATCATAATTCCCAAGTGTTTTTGATAGTTCTCAACAACTGGACCTCGATGAGCCCGGGCTTTCCAGGGCGAGCGACGAACGTTCTGCAAATAAAATTAGGCATGAGGAATAGCGGCTCGACGATATTTGGTGAGTAGCATTTTTTTTTTTTTTTCTTTTTTTTTTTTAATCGTGCAACTTCATTTTGCTAGATCGACACTTTTGCACCCTAGAAAGCCTGGATGTCAGAGATCAAGAGATTTTTCTTAATCTATTTATCTCTATTTCTTACATCGTTTGTTTGCCCTAACTGATGACAGACGATTTCAGTTTGAGGTACCTCGTCTTTTAATTGGCTAAGTTGTTTCATTTTGAGCGCTGTTTGTTTAATTGGCTCTAAAAGTTCACGTAACGTCGATAACTGCAACAAGAATTCTTTTAAAATCTTATCAAGCTTATATAAATAAGATTATTTAAAATCCTAACTTACCTCGCTACTTATAATAGAATCCTCTTGATCCATGGTTACCATATCAGCGGCAGTATTACGTTCAACGCAAAAACGATATGCAGGACAAACATTGGCACGACTTCGATTAGCCGATACTGTCTCATGACTATCGTTAGCTATTAAAATGATATCACCGATTGAAAGGTTTGATGATTGAAGATGAATCTTTCGACAATCACAATCTGTTTTAGCCGATTGTTTCGTACCATATTTCGAGGTGATTCCATCTTCTCGTTTTCGACGATGATTATTACAGTTATTATTATCGTCGTACTTGTTATCATTATTATTTAGCTTTACGACGATTGCACGAAAGAGTCCTGGTAAAAGAGCATGTGTATACAATCCGTTGCCATTGTCGTTAGTGAGAGGCGTCATAAGTTTCATGATAGTTTCTTCATTCATCATTGAGCTTTTCTTTTTCTTCTTTTTATGTTTCTTATAGTTTGTTCGTGAGTAGAAATCTTTCACGAAAAAGAATTTTTTATGAAATAAGATTTTTCACGATTTTGTTAATTTTTTGTAAGCTTTTTCAATCAACGACGTCGACGACGTCGATCCATTTTTCTGAATATCGCTGCATCTCCGTCTTCTTTTCTACGCAATTATTTGCTGCTAAAGTCGTTCTTCTTTTGTTCAATTTCTTTTTTATTCATGAACGACTATAGATTTCTATAAAATACTAGACTGTTAAATTGGATAGAGTGAGAGTGAAATTAATTACTTAGAGCGCTAAAAATGATGGCCATTTTGAAATCGATCTTTATAAAATCATGTCGATATGAGGAAATAATAATTGGAAATGAATGGTTTAGACAACTTAAGAAATAAAATTTATAGAACAATTGACGAGTATAAAAATGGCTTCAATTATATGTACGATAACGGAATAATATATATATATATATATTTTTTTTTTTTTTTAAATGATTTCGCATTATTATAATGTGATAAATTCAATTTTATTGCTTTCGTTAAGAGTTTGGAAGTACCTAAAAAAATGATCTATGTCTACTAAAGAATGATTATCTTTAAAAATCAAATAATCGAAAGAATTCATTACAAAAGTTTCATTCGACACAGTATATATGAACTTCAGTGAGATAATAAACAATTTCATAGAAATCTATCTTATGGTTGGTCTTTTCATTTTCAATTTTTCAAGTCTGCGACTCCATTCAGGATTTCAATAAACAACAGTTTCTAACCTATTCTTGGCTTACCAAAATTTTGTTTTTGCTTTTTTCCCTCCTCTCGTCTGGTACTTTTATCATACTAAATGGAAAATGATTCGAAAACTTTTAAAACAGAGGATAAATGCGACGAAAGTAGAAAAGACAACTCGAGCTATTGGAAGCGTATGATGAGGGGTTACGAGAAGAGGAACGCCTCGTTAGAGAGACGTCGTGCAGCTCTCATTGAGAGGGTTCATTTTATGGAGTGTGCATTGCCGTCGTTGTTAATGAGCGCTGCTGTTGTCAGTACTAACAGATCCGAACAGTCTCCAAAAGTTTCTTGTCACGATGGAACGTCTGGCAGGTACACGCACGCACACTTACATATGTTTTGCGTTTTAATACTGGAATTATCAAATTCGTCGAAAAGTAACGTTCTTGTTTAATTATTATTATGTAAAAACGATTAACTTGTCTTTTCAAATATCCATCCAATTGACAAATTGATAAATTCAGATTAATAGTTTTCGTCTTGAAGGCACATAAACGGAAATATTTTGAATTTCTTATTCAAAAAAAAAGGTTCTTAAAAATTCACATAAAGATACCATAGAGATATTTAATAATTACAGATCGTCACGTAAAACGTAAATCGAAGGATGCCCAAAGATACGAATAAAAATAATAATAATAAAAAGAATCGAACATAAGTAAATGGAATGAAAACTTTTCACTATACAATTGTGATCGTAAAAAAATTGTACATTACTATCTATGATACTTATGTTATGTTTCTGACGAAATATTTTCACGATTTTATTCCTCGTTTCCTCTTCTATAATACAATGTGACAATTGATATCAAATTGAACGCTGTCAGAAACAGGATATATACTTTTATCTTAAAAAAAAAAAAAAAAAAAAAAAAAAAACAAAGAAGAAAAGGAAAAGAAGAAAAATAACGATACATTCGCGCAAACAATATCAACTTTATTTCGTATACGGGTACATGATAAAAGGATAAAACGAACAAACAGTTCCATGTCGACCGCGTAACACTAAAAAAAAGAAAACAAAAGAGCAAGAAGACGAAGAAGAAAGTAAAAATAACAAGACTCGTGTAAAATTATGAATACAGTAGTAGTGTGCTTACATACATACATACTTGTAAAACTAAAGGATAAAACTCAAAACACTAACCACTGTAAAAACGATATGGTAAAAAGAACGTGGCGCTACGCTCGAATGAAAAGTGGACTAGAGACACGTTTTGTAAATCCTACAAAGTTATTCAAATAATATATATATATAATTTGTATACGTATATTATAATGCAAAGCCGGCATACACGCACACACTTTCTTTCGTTTGTTTATTTATTTTCTCTTTCTCTCTCTCTCTCTCTATTCCTTATCTTTCCAAAGATACGAAAGATAACGCAGGCCAGTGATTTCATCTTTCTCTCTTTTTTTCATGGTTTTTCTTTCGTTAAAAATACACGTATTTACATATTTACGTGTACCATTCCGTTGTATTCGATTTGAAAAAAAAAAAGATACAATTTTGTTCGTACTGTACGCACTGCTAAATACTTACGTACGTATAATCTTCGTTGGGATTATGAATTCGTTTCGATTCGTATTTCGTAAAATCGCTTACGTGAAGATTATGTTTTCGGTAAACAAAGCAAACGGAAACTGTTTTATACAAAGGCGAGGATAAAGAATGGCAAGGATCGACTCTTTTTTTCTTTCTTTTACGTGTTTTCTTTTCTTTCTATAATCTAACAAGTTTCTCGGATAGAAATCGACGATACGAAGCCTTTTCATCGAAGAAAATTTGTGCGATGTAAAAAAATTATTTGTTTATATTATAAAAAAAAATATATATATATATATATATAAAAGAGAACTGAGAAACATGTACGTTTATCCGAATCGGACTGGATTTTTAGTTTTCTTTTTTTTTTCTTTTACTTCTCGCAAAATCAAACACGATTTGGAAAGCACGATTACTTCGACGGAACTTTTTTTGAGTATTCAAAATAGTTTTTATCGGAATATATTAACGAGTCAAACCGATATAAGAAAAAAAATGCGACTCACGAAATTTATATTTGAAAGTTTCGTTATCGATTAAATCGCCATTTCGAATTATATTCGAACAAGAACGGCGATCAAATACATTTTTTTCTCGATCGACTTTCCATAGATTCGACATTTTCGATACTTTCCTTATTTGGTATTTTTTCAATCTGTTTTGTTTGAATCCCATAAGATATTCAATCGCGTCTGAATGAAAAAAAATTAAAAAAGAAAAAGCATCAAAATATATCTCTATCAGATGTAGATGAATTCGAAATCGAAATTCATGCAATCTGATTTGGTCTCGTTTATATATAAACCGATTATATTAATTTTGGCACTTGCAATGGGGTCCTTTGATTTTCTTTCTTTTGGCTTCTTTTTATTTTTATCGTATGTAACCTGTCGGCTTCGATTTACAAGCGCGCATGATACTCTCTTTTTTTTTTTTTTTTTCTATTTGCTCTCGATGGTACTCAACGATGACGATGACTTCGCTGTTCTTTCCTCAGGAACAAATTCTGATCGATGCTTGGCCGCTGTCAAGCAACGCCAGCCATTTTGTCCTGTAACAATGAAATATTTCGATATTTTTCTATGATTCTTTTTCTATCGATTATTAATACGAAGAATTGATTTAACATTTCAATGAATGACTCATTTATTTGTCGTTAAAAAATTAACATTTTCAATAGTGACTCATCTAACGACTAGTTCTCTATTTACTTACTTAATTCTTACTATGAATCATTATCGAACCATCTGACTTTATAATCAATGAATGGAAAATAACAGAAATTCTATACATTCTATCTGTGGATTTTATTTTTAATAAAATCCGATTTCTTTGATAATTTCCTGATGTTCCATGAGTTACTCGATTAAACAAAGAACAGAGGAAATTGATCGATTAATGAATGATGCTTTTTAAAATTTCGTTTACGATAAGAAAATCGTATATAATGCTATCTTATGACAAAAAATATGAATTACATGCTTCGGTATTAAGATTGTACAATATAAATGGCAAAAAATAGAATTAATTTGTTCTAATTAGATTATGATGATATTTGCATTAAAAACAAAGAAAAATTAAATGTTTCTTTTTTAAACTTAAATGTAAAAATGAAATTAATGTAAAAAAAGAAAAGGAAAAAGAAAACAAACTATGTATTTCTATTTATATCTTTACCTTGCTAGTGCATTCAGATCAACGTGAAGCTTATCGATCGTATCGTGGTACTTGCAATGATGTTGAGTATAGGCGCGTGTGCAAATGGTGTCTACACCGACAAGAGACGAAAGGACCTTCACCTCCAACGAAAGTAGATCACCTGCCACAGAAGATACACGGTAAAGTAGTAAACGATCCATGTTTTTCCTTCCCATGATTCTTCCCGACAAGTGATTCTTATTCGTGAAAAAAATGCGGAACAAATGTCTTTGACTTATTGTAAATGGAGACTTGCAATATCGACTGCGAAAGTCGGAGGGAAAGGAAATCGATTTTCAATTTTCGAATTACACACAAGAACATTACATATCCAATAAAAAAAAATATATATATATATATTTGAAAACATTAAACAATCGCGTGGACTGAAAATTATTTTTTTCTTTTGAGATTCCTATATATTTATAAAGCAATAAATGTTAGATGATCAATAATTTCAACGGAGAAAATGTTTTAAGCTATTATAAATATTGAAAATCTTGAAAATATTGAACGTCTCTACGATTTATAGGATTAACTTAAAAAATCCTTGAGACACGAGTACTAATATACTCAACAAATTCAACAAATTATCATTTCTTTTTTTTTCTAAATATAATGTGCCGTGTTGATTGATTTACTCGTTGACTTTTTAGCACGATCGTTTCCTTCCGGCTTATTCGCTTTACTATACACTCGCATGAAGATCTACGAAAAATTGAACAACAATTAAAAGCATAATTAGAAAGATTAGCCTTGTTTTAAAGAGATGACGAAAGATAGAAGAATAGAAGCGCCATTTTTACCACCACCATAAATACTGAACGACTTACGAAGAGAGATCGTCGTTCAATTGGCTATTATTGCTAATAGAAAAGTATAAAGAAAGTATAAATAATAACAAAATGACGGTTATACACTAGAGACTATATAGACGTGTACCCACTAATCGACGAAACTATTTATACGTCCTATTATTAACCAACGATTAAAATTGAGATGGAAAGTAAAACGAAGCGACAGAACCAGTCGAGCGAAGTGGAAGGAGGTGTAATAGCATATGCATAATATGTGTGTGTGTGTATGTATGTGTATATATATATATATATATATATATATATACATATATATAGAACAAGAAATGTATATAAGAATATATAAAAACAAGTAGGAAAATTTTAGAAAAATGTGTCTAATGGTAGCGTTATTTTGTAAACTACGGCACTAACGCGACAATTTACGAAGAAGACAACGAATTGACGAAAACTGACCTTGGGCCAGTTTCGAGTAGTCGGTCGCTGATCTAAATTCAACTCAAGGAGACCATGTCTGTCTCGTCTTCCATGCTTCCTCAACGGTTTACGAACCTTCCTCGAATCCGTGAGCTCCTTTCGAGAGCTCGACATTGCGTTATCCCGGAAGATAAACTTCAGTTAATTTTCCTCCATCTTCTCCTCGACTCTTCCCGTCTCTTGCTTTCCCCTTCTTTTTTCCTCTTCCGCGATATCTTCCTTCGACGATCATCATTTAGCCATAAGACGACGAGATTTTGTCTTTAATCAATCGTTCTATCGAATATAGTCTGTCTTTATGCGACTTTTTTCTTATACATAAAACAGAGAGAAGGAAAAGAAAACTCAAGTTCGGCCGTTCGGTTCATAATATCAACACAATTATGGCCGCCCAGTTCGATGATATTAAATCTAATTTAACAAGAAAAGAAAAAACAAAGAAAGAAAAAGAAAAAGGAAAAAGAAAAATATACTTCCACTCGTGTTCCGCTTCTAATCACCGAAATGAACTATCGCACTAATTGGTTACTTCTAAACGCAGATCTCCTGATACAAAATCAATCGATGATGCCTTCGCTCGTAATACTCGTCACGGCGTTTAACCCTCTTCGAGGATAACCTAACATTTCCCTTCGACGTTCTTGTCGAATAATCTTGTCTCTCTCTCCTGTTAGCCTTACTCTGCCTTTGTCTAACCTTCTTTTCGGACTCCAATTCGTCGTTTAAGGTAACGACCGAATCGATCGACTCGTTCTCCCTTTGATTCTCCTCCAACGTCACGGGAACTTGCGAGATCCTTCTTCTTCTTCTTCTTCTTCCTAGGTCCCCGTCGTTCTCGTTTTTCTCCTTGCCATCCATTTCGTCGAGAAGATCGCCATTTTCTTCTTCTTTGGCCTCCTTTGCTACCTCTTCGACTACTTCCGCAGAATTTTGGACAACTTCGACCTGAAAATTAAAAATGGATATCCCGTTTAATTTGCTTTGATTTCCAACGAATGGAGTTAGTGAATGAATAGTTTTATAAACATAAATAAATAAATAAATAAATAAATAAAAATTATTCAGCCAGCGAAGCGATCTCATTATATTGAAAGCAAATGAAATGAAAATGAAAAAAAAAATATTACGAACTATAATATTATGTCTTACCATAATACGCCGTGTTTCCGGTGCAATCCATCGCTCTGTTTGCTCGGTTCTTTTAGTCGTCTGATGAACACGGCAATGAGGACAATCCTCGATCGGTCCAGTAGCAATCGTTTGGACTTCTTTCGAACGATTCAGTACTTCCTCCATTACTTCTATCGTTACGTTTTCTTCATCATTAAGTTCTTCCTTTGTTTTTTGTTCTGGTACAACGGAGGTGTTGTCCATTATCGTTTCCCTCTTTTCAACAATCTGACAGTCACATTGTTCATCATTCTCGATTTTCTTCTGTTCATCAAGACGAAGCCTATCGCTGCTTCTACTTCTGCTCCTATTCTCTATGAGCTCCTCGACGTTACGCAATTTATTCTCAAGCCAGTAAACCCTCTCCGTTAGCCTGTAATTCTCATCGAGCAATTCTTCTTCCCTCTGCTTCGTCACTCGCCTTTCTTCGATTTGCCTTTCTTCAGCCTCTTCGTAAGCCTCCAATCTCTCTTCCAAATCTCTTATGCGATCCTGATAGGACGACAATTGAACGATCGAATCAACGTCCGTGTCGAGCGGTGGACAGGTTCTAGTAGTTGGATCGATCGAGCAGATTGTTGGGTTCGTTACTTTAGCTGCACGTTCTTGAATTCGTGCACGGAGTTCCTGAAGACGTTGAACCTCTTGCAATAGTTCACCGGAAGGTATTTCCGTTTGTGTTCCACGACTCGCTAGCTCGATCTCTAAGCTCTCCTCATCTTCTTCTTCGAAAATACCACTTTCTTGAAGAGACAGGGGTGGTTTTCGTGGTACGGGCGAAATCGAACGTGTAGTAGCGTAATTATTGCTGTTTGTGTACGGGATCACTGTAGCCACTGCACGATTTCTTTGCTTGTTTGCCTGATCCTGCAATCAATCGTATATATGCGTGTGTGTGAGTATGCGTTTTCTTCTTCCTTTTTATGAGATTTATGAAATGTTTGTATTTTTTCTTTTTTAAAATATCCTATATACTTGTTATCTAGATGTATATTCAAATGAATTCTTCGTTTTTATTATATAATAATATGCATATAAAATATGCGTAAGTGCATTCGTGTGCGCTTGTCAAGTAACCTTCAAACGCGATTGTATAAGAGAGTCAATAGCGAATGCTCGCTGAATCTTTCAATCTTATTGAAATACGATATATGGAAACGTTCCCATTCGAAGAAGATTCTAATATTACCTCTTTCTTTCTACCAACAATGAGAGTTTTTCCTTTTTTTTTTTTTTTTTTTTACCTTGCTCGGATGTAACAGTTCCGGCGAGACAATACCGCTATCAGCCGTGTGATCAGGATTCTCTCTACGAGCGGGTGACTCTTCCAGTTCGAGAAGTCTGAATTCTAGAAGTTCGTTTTGTTCTCTCAACTCGGACAATTCCACCAGGAGATTAGCCTCTCGTTCTTCGGTCGCTCGCAACTTCTCGTTCAATTCTTCCAATTGTTTGTTGCGATTGCTGCATCTCGTCTATTATGGAAAAAAGAAAATCAAGAAAAGGATTAAAATAAAGAAAAGGATTTATTCATAAATAAAAATTGTTTACCTCCTGCAGAAGGGCTTTTTCAAGATCAAGAACTTCGGTCTTTGCACGAGACAATTCCTGACGTTCGTCCAACAGTTTCGATTGGAGTTCCTCGATTTCGATAAGAACAGCTTCGTAAGCTTCTCTGGTGACACCTGATCCCTGCCATTGTCCACAACCACCAGGCTGAGGAGAGAGGGATGATGGTGCACTGGAAAGGGCACTGTCACCCTCCTCATGATCCTCCTCGTCGTCGACTTCGGCCACTGGCTCGAGTTCCAACCATTGCCTATAGAATTCCTCTTTCCTTTTCTTATTCGACAGTTGCTCGAGCTTTCGTTCCTTTTCCTTTCCCATGCGTGAAGGACAGAACACCGTTATTGTTACGTACAAGAGAATGGACACAACGATGATTATATAAACGAGAGAGTTAGTTAACCAACAAGTATTTAATGAATTCATAAGATTTAATCTTTTGAATACTTTTGTTTTTATTTCTTCATTCTTTTCTTTTTTTTTTATCTTCAAATTTTCTTTCGGTACTATCATTTTTTAATGTTTTTTTACAACCGTTCGTTTTGATGGTGGAATTCATTTTTATCGTTATCAAACATTAAATAAATCATTGTTATATATATATATATATCTCTACGTATATTTTTGTATATATCGAACGAAATAAATTTCATAATTAGAATTTTAGAATCATTTCTAATTTGTTTCACGTATGAAATTCATTACCTTGACTGTCTGCCTGAGTATCTCGATAACTTCTTGCTGCTCAAGCGCAAGCTCACGAAGGCGCTCGACCTCGATCTCGGCTATGGCTCTGTCGCAGCCGTCTTCGCGAATATACAACTGTAATTTGAATAGAAACAAAAAAAAATAAGATAAACAAATCTTGTCGAATATTGTTGTATTCGAATTATTAATGTATCTGTAATTTTGTGTTTGTTTTTAATTTCAAAGAAAAAGAAAAAAAGAAAAGGAAAAACAATTAAATTTTATGTTTTGATGATATTAAAAAGAAAAAGAAATGTGCAAAATTTTTTCATGTTCTTCATAAATTTGACGGAAGGAAATACGTTTGATATTAGAAAACGTCTTGTTACATAAACCATGGCAATTATTATGGTTATATTGAAGTGTAATGTAATTATAAAGCAATCAAATAAGGACTTACGGTATGATCCTCCGCGAGGAATTTCTTCTCTCCGCGAGACGTCGACCGGATCGGTCCGTTTCTCTCGCTGTCCTGTAACTTCCGCATCTGCAATAAGAACGAAGCTATTATTAAACCACTATCGACCGTATATTTACGCACAAGCAAATGAACGAGCCTCGTTCGTGGTGCGAATTAATGGCAATGAAATAAAAAAAGATCGTCGATAAGTAGAGCACATCGTGAGACTAGAAACTGAATTTATTTCATTCCAGCAAAGGGAAACTAAAACTAGATAAAATTTTTTATGGAATTAGATAATCATCTATCCTTTTTCTTTTTCTTTTTTATCGGTTCAATAATATCGCCAAGTTGAAAATTAGTTCGAAATGTATGTAATTTTTCTCTCCCTCTCCGTCTTTCAAAATGTTTGATTATTGAGTAATAATTAGGGTACACGTATATTTCTTTAAAATTTTTCTTACGAAATCGAGGCTTTCAGCCTTTATTCGAACTTTTTCTCTTTCGTAATAAATAACGTTAATTGCAAATCTTATTTATTATAAAGACAAATAACGCAATGGTTTTAGCATTATTTTTCGAATAATACGAATAATACTTAACGTTTATCAGAAAAAAATATGAGACGATAAGAGGGAGATAAATGAACGATTGTCGTCGAGAAGAAAAGTGCAGAAAGTGCTTTTGTGTCATACTTTCTCGATCGTGGAGTCGCGACGGCCACGTTTAACACGCCTTTCAGACGACATTATGCTAAAAAAGGAAAAGAAAAGTCTGTACTGTAAAAGAGAAAGAAACAATTTTCTTTCGATCGGAATCGTCTTCGTCATCCTTTCGTTGTCGTTCCAAGGGAACCAAATGTCATGACTCTTGACAAGAAAGAGAAAAGATTTCCGTGAGGAGGAGAAGGAAGTAATAAGAGAGAGAGAGAGAGAGAGAGAGAGAGAGAGAGAGAGAGAAGAATACACGGTCATTGTCAGAAGAATGACGATGAAAAAAGATTCAATAGATCGTATCGGTCGAACAGGGAAAGTGCGGATGGGAGTTACGAAACGAACATGGATCCGGTCATCGAGTTGTTACGTTTTCATTATTATCTCCTTCCTTCCTATCAATCTCGACTCTTCTTTTTTTATCCTTCGACGAGATCAGAGGTACGCGTCTATGTATGTACCTTGATCACTTAGATCGAAGAGATCTATCGAGTTTTGTACGAATATGTCATTCTTTTTGATTAATCGATATCATCTAATATAATTGATCTTACTCCAATAGATCTTTTCAACTTTCTTTTTCCTTTCTTTTTTCTTTCGAATAAAAATAACTCGTAATTGTTAAAAATTTCCAAACGATTATCGAAAATATTCAAAGTTTTGTTTGAAAATTCGTTTCTCTTTGTTATTTCTCGATCACATTCAATAAAAGATACTATGTATGACGAAGAGAGAAAGAGAGAGAGAGAGAGAGAGATAACGGCAAAGGAATTTAAGAGAAACGAGGAGTTGATAAAAATTGGATAAGAGACACGTTCTATCGGGTCGACAAACTGGCAATACCATGGCTTCGATTAGCGAAAGTGATCGGTCGTTCGAATCGAGCGAGAACGCTTACCAGATGTTGCGTTTATCGTAAGTAAGTATATATGTATATGTATATATATATATATATATATATATATATATATATATATATGTATATTCATATGCATAGGCATATGTATATGTACGGACATTATAATACACAGATCTTTAACTTCAATGATGATCGATCATAGATACTATAGGTGAGTGAAAAAAAGATCTTTTAACAAGCTTTCCGATGATTTAGCGTTACTCTTGGGAAATCAACTTTCGACTCGTCAAGAAGAAATTATTATTAAAAAAAAAAAAAAAAAAAAAAAAAAAAAGGAAAAAGAAAAAGAAAAAAAAACAGAAATCTTTGAAGATTCTTCCGCGATCGTTTATAAAGAAATAAGCGAAAAGTTTTACTTTTACCGGAAGTCATAACGTTTTACCTGACGACAAATATGTATCTTAGAGAGAAAAAAAAATTACTGTTTGCAATTATAATCAATGTCATCTTTATTCAGCATATATACACATTATACGTACGTATAAGTATGTAAATGTATGTATGTAATGCATCGAGAATAGTAAACGTTTTATTAGATTCATTATGCAGAATGAGTGCTCACATGATGCTTAAAAGAGAAATTTACGTATCTCTGATTATAATAATTGTACAATTTTAAACAAGAACTCTGTTCAGGTAATGAACTTTGACCCTGCAATCAATATCTTTCTTCTCTCTCTTTCTCTTTTATCCCTCTCTGTTGCTTTCTCCACAATAAGACGAATAAGGCAATGACCCACATAATGAATCTTACTAAAGATAGTTCACGTTATTACGTTTTACATATATATTCAGCAATCTCGACGAGAATAGATAGAGATAAATTAAAGCTAGATAAATAGTTAACTGTTTTTGATATCTTCTAAAGTAAAAAAAAATAAATTGGATAGATCGTTAATTACCGATCGTTAATAATGATCGATTCTAATGTCCGTCAATCACCAGAATGATACTCGAATATGCTTCGACCATACGATTATTCGATTATAGAGAGAGATGGAGAGCGAGAGAGAGAGAGAGAGAGAGAGAGAGAGAGAAGAGTTATTGTAAATTTTAACGAGAATTAGATGAACGGGAACCGTTAGATTTACGGAAAATATATATGTCCGTTTTATATACGAAAGAGGATAATTGAAAAGGATTGTTATAATGCATGATTATTATTTATATATATATATATATAAAACGTGTTATTAATTATATAAATTAAAGAATTTCAAGTGTTCATTCAATGATTAGAGTGGTTTATAATCTATTAGTAACAATGATTTTTTTCTTTTTAATTCTTCTTCTTTTTACGAAGACGCAAATTTATAATTTCTTTGTAATTCGTTGAACATTTTCAACGTAGAGTCATCAAATTATGTAATTTGGTTAGAAGAAAGAAGCTTGGAAAATTTCAAATACTTTGTACATATTGGAAACGAGGTAAAAGTTTCATATGTCGGAGAAGATGCTGCAGAGACGTATCACAAACGTATAAGGAGCCGCATCGCATCATCTCGTGAGGACCGTTAGGTTGGCCCCCTAACACAGAGAATAAGAGAGCCAAGCACAGTCTGCTCGACCGAATGAACGCCTCTCGCCTTCGTTATCCTTATCGACCTGCATATTCTTTGCGTATGAATGAGAAACGACAGAGAGGAGAGAGAGAGAGAGAGAGAGAGAGAGAGAAAAGAATAGACTGATAAGACGAAAATCAGAAAGCATAGAATCAAATTTTTAAATCTTAAAGTTACATTTTATTTTGAAGAACAAAACGATTAAATGTCGAAAGGTTTTTAATTTCATAGAAAATTATTATCTTTCGAACGAATATATCTTTTGAAAAAAAAAAAGGAAAAAAAAGAAAATGGAAAAAAAAAATTAAAAGCTATCCACTTTTAAAGTGTCTTTTTTTTTAAAGAGTTACTTAAAATTACCGTTTCGAAATACACACATAAATGGCATATAGAAAGAGTGTTGCCACTTTTGATTCTCCCTTTGCCAAAGAGAAAAAAAGAGAGAGAGTCGAATACACCTTGCATGCACTTGGCGTGTCGTGCACTTTGCGCTCTATACACAAGTATGTAAATGTCTGCTGGCCCGTCTCGTTTCGAGCTACACACGTGCCCGCACAATCCAAACTCGTTTCTCTTTGCGCTCGTTAAATGCCACGTTTCCTCGTTTTACTTCAAAAGCACAAGTACGTACAGATGATTTTTTTTGCATACACATATGTACGCATTCTACTATTTATATATCATAATTTATTCGAAAGACGATTAGTTTTTTCTCTTTTTATTTTCTTCTTCTTCTTCTTTTCTTTTTATATAAAACAATTCAATTTATTTTCAGAATTTCAAATTTATTATATTATACGAGTTATTCGACGATATAAAAATCACGTATTAACAATTTGGATATATTTTTGTTTTTCACTAAATAAGTATGTGAATTTAAACTCTTCCCATATAATAAAATGTGAATTTAACGTGAAAGAATAACAAAGAGATCGTTGACGAGTCTAGTGAATTGTTGTATAAATTCATATGACGTGCGGTATGACGAATGAAGAATTTTATATAAAAATATTCATATTCGATTTTACCGAGAGGTATTTTCAAATTTAAACGTCGACGAGTCTTTTCATTTTAAACGAAATAAAACAACGCTGGAATAGTAAAAAAAGAAAAAAAAAAAGAAATAAATTTGCAAGAAAATAAAATGTTTTTATTACAGGAAAGAAGAAAAAAAAATATATTAAGGCACAATAGTGTAAGAAAATGTGAAACGATGCATCATATTCGTAAACTATATATATCTACACACATAAACACAGAGACGCACAGACATTTTCACGATGTTTGGTTTCGACACGAACGTGCCCTCACGATCCGAACTTGTTTCACTATATGTTGTGCATCTTACACCACATTCTCTCAGTTGTTTCAAAACATGTGCACATAGAATATCATGTATCGTATACGCGATATTCGAAGATAGTTTTGTGAAACGCTTATGCAAAATAGGAAGTTGTCTACTTTCGAAGATTCATTCACAAATCGTTTAGAAAATAATCCCTTTGCAAAATATTTACCGTAGATAACAAGCGCCCTTATATTTTCTACGTATAATCGTTATATTTACAATATTTATATATACGTATATATTTTTTTTTCACTAAAGCACACTTTATAAAACAAAGTCTGTCGATAACGAAGAAAACGGAATATCTTTATTTAATAAAAATCTCGTACATATGTAAATATAACATGAGTTTTACCATTAAAAATAATACTGAGAAGATTTTTTAATAATTATTATTACAAAAAGAGAGGAAAAAAAGAATAAAAAAAGAGAAAGAAAAAAAATTGTGCCGAAAGTACACGTAAAAAGTTTAAGCAAGACTTAAAAGTACTCGCATGTTTTCATACTCGATGATCTCGGAATACATTAGACTGAGTGTATCGCCA